TGGCTGGATCCCACTGTCCAGGTGGCTCTGTAGACACAACTTAGGTGTGAAGGGGGCTGAAGACAATGGGAAGTGCTACAGGAAAAGAATTCTCGTGTGATGGCACAGCAGGTCTCGCCCCTGCCCACAACCTTGTTAGGTGGGTGCCAGGCTCTCCTGGGGGCAGCTTAGAGGCGGCTGCACCATGACGCTCTGGGAGGAACTTCAGCAATGCCACGCCCAGGAAGACTTCCCCAGCCATGGCCCAGAGAGGAGACGGAGGCCCACACCCACACCCATAGGAGACTGGGTTCTTTGCTGCAGGTGAATTTTTTTTTTTTTTTTGACAGGGTAGACAGTGAGAGAGAGAGAGAGACAGAGAGAAAGGTCTTCCTTTTTGCCATTGGTTCACCCTCCAATGGCCACCGTGGCTGGTGCACTGCGGCCGGCGCACCGCGCCGATCTGATGGCAGGAGCCAGGTACCTATCCTGGTCTCCCATGGGGTGCAGGGCCCAAGGACTTGGGCCATCCTCCACTGCACTCCCTAGCCACAGCAGAGAGCTGGCTTGGAAGAGGGGCAACCGGGACAGAATCCGGCGCCCCGACCAGGACTAGAACCCCGTGTGCCAGCGCCGCTAGGTGGAGGATTAGCCTAGTGAGCCGCGGCGCCGGCGTGAATTCTCTTTCTTAAACCTTGCTACTTTCTTGCATCTCAATTCTTTCTGGCGTGAAGACAACACCTCCAGGGCCTCAACTCCAACAGCTCACGACTCTGCCCCTGCAGGTGCCTCCTCGCCCTTCCTTGTTCTTTTGGGCAACCCTGCCCCCATCTCGCGCTCCCTCCTGCTTTGTTGCCCTTGGGTTAAAGCTGCGTGTCGTCTGCCTCATGCCTTCTCCAAAGCGGCCCACGGGGCCACAACGCCTGGGCCCCCTGTGGCTGGGAGACCTCCATGGGCGTCCTGGCCCCCTGCACCCATCCTGTCTGGATGAGCAACACTCGTTCCTCCATGCTCACTTCCAACCGAGAAGAGAACTTCCCAGACCTCCCTCAACGCCCCCTTCGCCTTTCCAGGAGCTGCCCGTCAGCTTCCCTTTATACTGGGGTGAGTCACCCCTGGACCACGACCAGCGCCCCACCCCGTCCCTCCAGCGGACATCCCATTGGTGAACAAATGTGGTCCCAGCAGGGTACATGGGGGTTTGGAGGTGGGACGTCTGGGATTGGGATTGGACTGGATCCTCTTTGTAAGAGGCCATGCAGACCAGGCCTGGATCTAGGCGATGGCCCAGGTCACCCTGGGATTCTGCTGACAGGAACGCCGCCGCCAGAGGCCGAACCAGTGGGGTCCTGAGGACCAGGGGCCTCCAAAACTGAGGGCCAAATCGAACTTCCTTCCTTTGCGATGCCTCAGCCACGAAAAGCTATTATACACAACTTCCACCTGCTGCCTAAAGACCCTTCCTGCGGGGCCGGCGCTGTGGTGCAGTGGGTTAATGCCCTGGCCTGAGGCGCTGGCATCCCACATGGGCGCCGGTTCTAGTCCCGGCTGCTCCTCTTCCGATCCAGCTCTCTGCTACGGCCTGGGAAAGCAGTAGAAGATGGCCCAAGTCCTGGGGCCCCTGCACCCGCATGGGAGACGCGGGAGAAACTCCTGGCTCCTGGTTTCGTATTGTCGCAGCTCCGGCCGTCCGGCCGTTGTGGCCATCTGGGGAGTGAACCAGTGGATAGAAGACCTCTCTGTCTCTACCTGTGGGGAGCAACTCGGACTAGACTGAGTTACTGGAATTAAGACTTATTCTATGCATCTGCTCTCCCACAATATGGCGCTGGGAGAGAAGAAAACAGCTTCTACACAGCTGCCTCCAGTTCAGCCAATAAACTGTAGGACTTGCTCCTGATTGGAGGAGAGCAGCGTACTCGGCGTGTGGGCAGCCGAGTTAGGATTAGCGGAGGAGGACTATAAAGGAGAGAGACGGCATGCACCAGGAACATCTAAGGGGAACATCTAAGGGGAACACCTGTGCAGCCCCCGAGAGAGCCGGCCGGCGGTGTGCCGCTCCCCTGCGCAAGTGGGGAATGTGGCCAGGGGGAACCGCCCTTCCACGGAGGTGGAAGGGACAGTAGCCAACCCGGGAAGAACCAGCAGCAAACCCGGGGAGGGCCGAGCAGACGAAAGAACAGCGCAGGGTCCTGTGTGGTTCCTCCACAAAGACGGGGAGCGACACTACCTCTCTCTGTGACTCTTTCAAATCAATAAAATAAACCTTAAAAAAAAAAAAAAAGACCCTGCTCCCACTGTCCCCCTAGAAGCTGCTGGTTCTCGGCAGCCAGAGCATCAGCCCGCGGTGCTAGGACGCGCGTCCCCGGTGCCCCACAGCACTCTCTCACCCCACCGTCGGTCAGACACGGGTTCTCAGTGAGGACGACTGCCCACCCTCCTCCAGGGTCTGGGTCCCTATGCTGAACCACTTGTTCTCCCTACAGCATTTATTACTTTCGACCACAGCAGCAGTAAGCTGGGGGGTGGGGAGGGATGCGAAGGGGGAAGGGAAATAGAGATCTTTCCAAATGCTGGGGCTGGGCCAGGCGGAAGCCAGGAGCCAGAAACTCACCCCTGTCCTCCCATCTGGGCGGCAGAGACCCAAGTCCCTGGGCCATCCAGGGTATGGATTGGGAGGAAGCCGGAGCTGGGCGTGGCACCCGGGCACCCTGAGCACAGGCACTGCGCTGTGGGCTGCTGGCGTTGCAAGCGGCTCATGCTCACGCGCCGTGTGCCTCTCCTGTCTCTCACTGCAGCATGAGCAGGGGACCTAGTCTGTCTCGTCCTCTGGTGGACAGCAGTGCTCACGGGTGGTGGGTCTGACTGGCGTGGGCTGCCAGGAGCCCTCCCCCCACAGCCTGTAAATACGCTGTTTCTTTGCCAAATACTCCTGTTACCAACTAATGACCTTAAAACAGGGAGGCTGTCTAGGAGCTTCCTGGCAGAGCCCATCTAGTCACAGGATTCCCTAAAAACACAGAACGGGAGAAACGGGGCGAAACTGTGGGACGTATGAAGAGGACCCTGCTAGGAAGGGGTGGGGGCCCGGCCGACGAGGACGCCCTGCAGAAGCCGAGAATGGCCCCTGCTGGTGGCTGGCAACGGGCCCTCACACAACCACGTGGGACTGAGTTTTGCCAGCACCGTGATGACTCCCCCCCATCCTCGACTGCTCTTGAGACTTGGAGAAAAGAAACCACCCAAGTTCACCACACCTCACCAAGAGCTGCACTGTCTCATGCCACTGTATCTGTGGCGGCTTCCTAGGAAGGCTCACTCTCGCAGGTAACTCCCCAGGCCATGCAGAGGCGGCGGCTTGGCACACAGGGAGACCCTCCCCGGGGCCGCTGCCGGGCTGGGGCGGAGGAACGACCCTTCGCCCTCCCTGGATGCTGACTGCGCACCTGGGCGGAAAGGACGGGCGACCCACGCACACCCCGCGCCACCGGGCCGCCTGCAGCGCCTGGTCCGGCAGAGCCACACATAGACGATGCGGGCAGAGATCCCCACATTGCCCCCCTGCAAGGCTGGACTGGTGGCCCTGCCTCCCAGCCTCTCGCCCCTGGCAGGTTGAGGCACAGGGACCCAGATGTCACGAGGTTTTCTGAGAAAACAGCCTGCAAAGCAGAGCCCGGCACACGGGAAAGGGGGCTCCGCGGGGTGGCCTCTGCAGACCCCTCAATGCCCGGGGTCCCCGCCGGCTCCTCAGCCGGACACGCGCCGCCGTGGCCGCCCAGCTCGACCCCGCCCCGAGAGGCCGAGGCTTTCCGGAGGACACGCCGCGGGCGGCCCCGGCCGCGCCGTTCCAGCCGCCCCTCACCACTGGGGCCGCGCCCCATCTGAGTCCGGGAGCCGCGACCCGGGCCTCCCCGCGGGGCCGGCGGGGCGGTCCAGGCCCGGGTGGCCGGCACCTTCGGGCTCCGGGGGGCTGGGCGCGGAGGCCTCCTCAGGCTGGTTCCTCAGAGGCTCGCAGCAGGTCGCCCGGCCGGGGGAGACGACGGCGAAGCGGACCCACGTGGACGCCACACAGCGGGGACCGCCCGGGCGAGGCGTAGCTGCCCGCACAAAGCTTCCCGCGAAACTGACGTCGGAGCCGGGCCCGCCGCGCAGGCGCCGCCCCCGGCCGCACCCCTCCCCCGCGCTCGCCCCGCTCCCCAGCGCGCCGGCGCACTCTCCTCTCCCCCATTGGTCGCTGCGCGGCGGCGCGCGCCAGCCGGCGCACGGCGCGCCTCGCGATTGGCTGGGCAGCGGCGGGCCGGGGGGTGTGTCCCGCGCCGCGCCCCGCCCCTCGGCTCGGCTCGCGGTGGTGCGCGCGGCGGCGACGGCGGCGGCGGCGGCGCGTGGCAGGTCCGGCGGGCGCGAGGTGGCGGCGACGGCGGCGGCGGCCCGAGCCCGGCCCAGCCTCGTCCCGCCCGGAGCCCGCCCGGCCCCGGCCCCGACCCCGGCCCGCCCGGGCGCGCCGTGGCCTCGCCTCGGCCCGGTGTCTCCCGAGGGAGCGGCGCTGCCGGCCGAGAGCGCAGGCCCGGCCATGACCGACTTCAAATTGGGCATCGTGCGGCTCGGCCGGGTGGCCGGGAAGGTGAGCGGCGCGGAGCCCGCGGCTGGGCCCGGCCCGCCCGCCCTGGCCTCTGCGCGGGGCCCGGGGCGGGGGCGGTTGTGCGGGCTGCGGCCAGGGCGGGGGCGCCGGCCCCGGAGGGGCGCCGGCGGGGCGGGGGCGCTGCGCGGGCCCGGCTGCGGGGCCTCGCTCCGGTGCAGGCCGCCTCTTGAAGTCGGTGGGGCGCGCCCCTTGCCGCCTTCGCCGGGGCCCGGTCTAGGACCAGGGCCGGAGATGCGCGCCCGTGCCCGGGCCGCGTTCGTCTGGCGCTCTCCCATGTGGGGCTTCCGAACTGGGCCCAGCCCGGCGCCAGGGCTGCACCTGCGGCCGCGCGGTTTGAACACGGCGCCCCTTCCAGGGCAGCGCCACCTCAGTCCTTCTTGCTAGGGGGTCTGATGGGGGCCTCTGAGCTTGCACTGAGCGTGGGCTTCCCCAGCGCAGGACAAGGAAGCCGGAACCCCGGTGTTGGTGAACTCGAGGGCTCCCTCGACTTCTCTCCCCTAGCCCGGCCTCCGCCCTCCACAGGCTGCAGGCGAGGCCTCTGGCACCAGTGGGCCTGGAGGCTTGGCTGTTTCCGCCTTGCAGCAGCCTGGGCCTTACCCTGATGGAAGCCTGGTCCCTATATCCAGGGACTGAGAGGCAGTCTGCATTCAAGTGAAGGTAAAACAGCTCCGATCCTAGGAGAGATCTCGCAGGAGTGAGGCTGGTGTTGTTGGGGGTGTCCCGGGCTCTCCCCTGGAGCTCTGGCCCTCTCCAGGCTGCATTAACGTCCCCAAATCTTTCATCCGGAACATTCCAGGCAGACTGAACTGGAAAAGGGTGATTGGGCGAGCACCTGTGCACCCCTTGCCCAGCTTAACAGACAAATTGAAACCTGGTGTGTACTCTGCCCCTGCTCCAGGGCAGCCCACTAGGTCTGGCCAGCTTTATCGGGGGCGGTCTTGTGTGGGAGGCCTTTGAAGCCAGGTGCCTCCTCCTGTGGCTTTGCTGTGTCTGCCGCACACGCAGTGCTGCAGAGCCAGGCCCCCTGGCTGTAATGAGGCGCAGACCCCAAGTGTAACGCTCTGTAATGTGGTTGATTTGCAGACCAAGTACACGCTGATAGATGAGCAAGACATCCCACTGGTGGAGAGCTACTCCTTCGAGGTAAGGGCGCAGATGGGGTGTTCCCGGGAGGGCCGAGCGGAGTGCAGGTGCTTGGGTCCAAGAGGCCCGGCACGTGGATGTCTGGTGCCAGCCGGTGGAGTCTCCGTGGCCTTTCTGACGCTGGCCTTGGCCGACCTGCACCCTCCCTGGTCGCTGGCTGCTGTTAAATCAACTTTTGTCCTGTTGCTGACAGGTGTCCCTAGTGCAGCTTACCCAGTCCTCTCCACGGTCCCAGGTGCTCTGTAAGGAACTTGCCTCCGACCTCTGCGAGTGGTCCCTGGTGCTCTGGCCACAGGGCCCCACAGTTCTGCAGGAGCTCCTTCTCCAGGGTGTCCCTTTCTCACGGGATCGTGGGGGGTTTTTATTGGTGGGAAATTGTCTCTGCGCCCATAGAACTTCACAAATAATTGCTTATGAGTGAGGGTTTTTTTTAAGGTTATTTAAAATTTATTTGAAAGGCAGCATTAGAAAGGGAGAGACAGAGACAGATCCTCCATCCTCTGGGCCAGGCTGAAGCCAGGAGCTTCTTGTGGGTCTCCCACGTGGGTGCAGGGACCCAAGCACTTGGGCCATCTTCTGCTACTTCCCCAGGCCATTAGCAGGGAGCTGGATCAGAAGTAGACCAGCCAGGACTAGAATCTGCGCTTCTATGGGATACTGGCCCCACAGGTGGTGGTTGAACTTGCCACGCACAGTGCCGGCCGCTAGTGTGAGCGTTTCTTGTGTGAGTGAAAGGTGGAGTGGTTGAGGGGGCATAGCTGGCCTCTGCATCCACAGACACCCAGGTCCCAGAAACGGGCTGGGCCCTGTCTTCCGGCTTTTTTGTTTCATTCGATTATTCTAAGAGGGATCTGGAAATTGGAGGATTTTACCAATCCTTTCCTTGTTCTTTTCAGGCCCGCATGGAAGTAGATGCAGACGGAAATGGTGCTAAGATATTCGCATACGCCTTTGACAAGAACCGAGGCAGGGGATCGGGCAGGCTCCTTCACGAGCTGCTGTGGTGGGTGTTCTCGCGCTGTGCTGGTCTCCCCCTCGGCCCTGTGTGACCCTCACCTTCCCCGAGTCAGTGGCCCGTTGTCTGTGCCTGGTGCCTCCTGTGGTACAGGAATGTGGACGACTGCCTTCCGCTTTGCCCAGCACTCCGTCCACAGACAAAGCGCCTCACGCCCCAGGACAGGCTCTGCGGGGCAGCGGGGGGGGGGGGGGGTCCTGCGCTCTGCCCCGGCTCTCCTGGGGCGCCTCGGCGGGGTGTGAAGGGGCAGCTCACTGGGGAAGTTAACTGCCGCCTCGGTGTGCATGATGGGATGCTGGTGTCTGGGACCTCTCGCTGAGGAACTGTTTGTAGGCTGTCTGGGTCTGGTTCGGGGTATCGTTCTTGGCTCTGTGGGTCCAGCTCTTAGATTTTGGATGTCAGGCAGTCCCTGTCCTGTTGGAGCCACAGGCATCCTCGCTTGGGTTCCCCTGGATAGCTTTCCAGCTGGACTCTGGTGCTGAGCCAGACACGCTGTAACCAGAAGGTTGTTCCCTAGGGAGCGGCACCGGGGCGGTGTGGCCCCCGGGTTCCAGGTGGTGCATCTCAACGCTGTGACCGTGGACAACCGCCTGGACAACCTGCAGCTGGTGCCGTGGGGCTGGCGGCCCAGAGCCGAAGAGACCTCCAGCAAACAAAGGTGGGTCGTCCTGGGGCGGATGGTGCCAGCAGAGGCCTTGGAGGGCTGTGCTCCTGTGTGCCCTGACGCTTCTGTGGCTTTGGGGACCTTGGTTATTCTCCCCAGTGTGGGGTCTGTTGAAGGTGTGGAAGGGTCTGCGTGATTACTGCTTTGGCTTCATCCGACAGCTGGCCCTGGGAACGTCCCTTTAGCTGAAGTGACAAAACGGGAGAAGTGCAGAGCCTGTCCCAGGGCCCCTCCCAGAGCGTAGGTGAGCCTTTCTGTTGTACTCTTCTGCTAAGTGGTGATTTCAAGGAAGCAGAACGCCGGAGCAGAGGCTTGGCCCATCGCTTCCGCCTCCCTGTGGTTCTACAAACAGGCTTCCCACCTGGGAGGGCAGTCCCTGCTGCCCCAGGACGGCTCCGCTTGAGCTTTGTGGAGCCCTGGGGAGGAGCTGGATTCGGCCAGGGAGTCCTGGGCTGTCCGGGCCTCTGCAGCCCTTGCTGGTGTTGGCAGTGCTGGCCATCCTGGCACATTGTTGTTGGTTGTCGCTAAGGCTCAGTGTGTTGGGCTTGGTGATGGACAGCAGAGGTGGGTGATCTTTGCAGTAGTCACCTTCAGGTCACACCGAGCCCGATGCAGTGGAGGTAGAAGGGAGACTGCTGCTAGCCTCGGTTGGTCCCCAGGCCTGCAGAGGGTTACCCCCAAGTTGCTCCTGCTCTCAGGGCACCCTGCAGACTGCACCCTCGCTGCTGCTTCACTGGGCAGGGCAGGGGCAGGGGCAGAGCCTACGCATGTCAGGCAGCCGGGGTTTGGCTGATGGTTTTGCCCTCTCTAATATTAGAGGCGTTAAAGGTTGAGAGTGAGTGTTCTCCCATCTCAATGCCCAGATAGTGAAGTAGGATTTATATCCTTTTGGGAATTCTGTTAGTCTGGACTCTGCTCGCAAGAAACTAAGCTCAGTATGTGGAGAGCCAGGGCTGCCTGGGAGCTTCAGCCTGGCTTACCAGCTTGCACGGAGGGAGGCTCCAGGTCCATTCTGGTGGGCTGGCTTCCAGTCGCTCTTTTACCCTGGAGCGGGGGTGGGACGGGGTCTTTGAGCAGAGGGAACCAGGGTGAGGCAGTTGTGACACTTGCTCATCCCAGGTGAGCGCTGGTTCAGGCCCCGGCTGCTCCACTTCTGATCCAGCTCCCTACGAAAGCATCCAGGAGAGAGCGGACAGTGGTCCGACCGCTTAAGTCCCTGCCTGGCTTTTGTGGCCACATCGGGGGTGAACTTGCAGATCTTTCTCTGTAACTGCCTTTCAAAACATTAGAACCAAAAGGGAAACCAGGGCTGTGTTATCTGCAGGAAGGGTGACGGGGTGCTGGGCAGCAGAACCAGCGTCCCTGGTGTTCCCCCTCAGCCGTCCCGCTAACATGGGATGTGCCGTCCTCCCGCCGCCCACCACTAGCACTGCTCTGGCCAGCCTCTGGCTGGGTATCAGGTCTTCTCCTTTGTTGCCGGTAACGCTTGTTTGGAAAGGGGCGGCTGCACATGACACTTGCCTGTCTCACAGGACTTCACACTGAAGGCACAAAAAGCAGCCTGTGTTTCCCACATCCTGACCCTTTTCTCTTTTTTTTAAAAAAAATTTAATGTATTATTTATTTGAAAGGCAGAGAGAGCCACCTGCTGGCTCATTCTCCAAATGCCTGAAACAGCTGGGGCTGGGCGGGCCAAAGTCAGGAGCCAAGAACTCATTCCAGGTCTCCCGTGGGGCTGGCAGGAGCTCAGATACTGGAACCAACATCTTCTACCTCCCAGGGTCTGCATTAGCAGGAAGCTGGAAACAGAAGTGAACCTAGGTGCTCCAAAGCTCCCTGCCATTATGCCGCACGAATACCCTGCCTTCCCCCAGTCTGACCCCCGGGGCCACAGCTGTGGGTGAGGGAGCGGCTCCTCAGAGCCCTGCCTGGCCGCGGCCGCCTCGCGCTTGCCACGGCCTGTGTGGTGCAGCAGGTGCCCGTTAGGTCTCAGGTCTTGGTAGAATTCTTCATCTGTATACATGTGGCCTGGTGAAGCGTGAGAGTTTCCAGACGATCTAGGACTGGACTCGACAGGAGCAGGCCTGTGACAAGGACAGGAAAGGGGGCACCTGCTGGGCCATGTTGTGCATGTGTTGTGTGCCTGTCAGTCCAGATACCGGGAGGATATGAGCAAGGCGGAGCAAGACGGGATGAGTGTGTGTGGCGGAGGTGGGATGGGCCAGGGAACAGTCCAGTTGCCGTGGCAAACACGGGCACACCTCTGTCCTGCAGCCCCGTGTGGCCACCTGTGCACTGAGGTGTCTGCTTCTTTCTTTAAGGGAGCAAAGCTTATACTGGCTCGCAATTCAGCAGCTCCCCACGGACCCCATAGAGGAGCAGTTCCCCGTCCTGAATGTGACCCGGTACTATAATGCCAATGGGGACGTGGTGGAGGAGGAGGAGAATTCCTGCACCTACTACGAGTGCCACTACCCGCCCTGCACGGTGATCGAGAAGCAGGTACAGTGTGCTGCCCCGAAGCTGGCTCCTGCCACCTCGTCCTGCCGTCCGTCTAATCCCCTGGGGGCAGGTCTTGTGGCCGTAGACCACCAGGGTCCAGGCCTCCCAGCCTTGGTCAGCGGGCTTTCGTGGGTCCCTTTGGGTTATGAGGTATAGTTTCTGCCCCACACTGCCTCCCAGGCATGACACTGAAGCCACAGGCGTTCTCTGTTCCAGCTCCGGGAGTTCAACATCTGTGGGCGCTGCCAGGTGGCCCGGTACTGTGGCTCCCAGTGCCAGCAGAAGGACTGGCCCGCCCACAAGAAGCACTGTCGGGAGAGGAAGCGTCCCTTCCAGCACGAGCTCGAGCCGGAGCGATGACGGGCGGCAGAGGCGCTGCTCGGCGTGCTTGCTCTTCCAGGCTCCTCGGGCACAGCGGAGAGACTGGTGATCGGACCTGGAGGTGCCCGAGAAGCCAGCGGCCAGCCAGAACAGCCGCCGCGAGACTCCCGGTGTCCCAGGGGTGGGGACGGCGCCCCCAGTGTTGGTCTCTAGCAGAGACATGGAGAGGCTCCCTGGGGTGTCTCATTATTTATATGTTAATATGTTTGTAAACTCATGTACAGTTTTTTTGGGGGGCGGGGCAGTGGGAAGGTTAGAAATGACAAATAGAATCATTTGCTGTGATCTTCAGATGGCAAAGGGTCAGACCACATGTCTGAAAATCGTCCTAGCCGAAGTCTGTCTCCCGGGCGACAGGAGCCCACGGGAGCCCACGGCGCAGCCTGCGTGGGAGTCGGGGCCAGAGGGCGAAGTAAAGGGTGGAATCATCCAGCGTCTCGGACTCTCTGCTCCGCTCCTCGCCCTGTGGAGGGTGCTCTGGGTGCTGGGGAGGGCTGCCCCTGCCAGCGCAGGGCCTACCTCGAGCCTGGCCCCTGCCAGCGGCATGGGTGCTCTGGACCCCTGCAGCGGGCAGTTCTCTCCCTGGAGAAGCTCAGCAGTGAGCTGTGCCACGGGGCATTCCCAGGTTTGCTGAGCCCCCCCACCCCCGGGGTTGGAGCAGAATGAGGGCCACCTCGCCTGCAGTGTGGACGTCTGCAGTGTGGACGGCGGCCCCAGGGCCTCTTGTCCATGCACAGCGGGGGTGGAACCTTTTTTTTGCCAAGGGACGTGTAGGTGTTTCTAACATTCTGGGCCATACAAATGAATGGCGCCCCGCCTGCAGCTGCCTTGGCTGGACCGGGCGCTCCCCACCTGTGGTGCAGGGCTGTGGCCGCTGCCCAGCCGGCCTTAGTCCCCAGGAGACGCCAGAGCAGCCTGGCCTGTGTGGACCCTGCAGCGTGTGCTGAGGCTCCCAGCCGGCGTGGCTACGGTCCCTGTGGACTGCGCTTCCTACCTGGCCCTTGGAGCGGTCAGCCGGGTTCCGGCGCCTGTCCACGTGCCCTGGTCCCCCGGCCTTGCAGGGAGGGAAGCCGTCGGGCCTCCTGCTTGCCGCCCCACTGCGAGGCTGCGGCCGGGACCCGCGGCTGGCTTTTGTCCCTCGTCTGACCCCGAGGTCCGAGTTCGCGGGGGCGTGTCCTGTCCGTGGGGGCGGGACTTCCTCCGGAAGGGGCGCCGTCGCGGCCGCGCCAGGCGTGCCCGACGGCCTCGCTTCTGAGAGATCGCGGTGCCTGCGGTGCCCGGGTAACCCCTTGCTGCGCCTCAGGGGAGCTCGGTTGTCCTGCGGCGGTCCTCGCCACGTGCCTTCCGCTGGCCGCTTCCGCGCATTTCCGGGGCGGGAGGCCGGAAGTCCCGCCCCGGCGCTCGGGCGGGAATCGGGCGGTGCTGCGAGCCGCGCGGGTGTCCGCGCCTCCCTGCAGGCGGCACGATGGGTGGCCGCGTGCGGTTGCAGCAGGCGGTGGACACCGAGCTCACCGCGGACGCCGTGGCCTGGTGCCCGCTGCGGGGCCGCAGGCACCTTCTCGCGTGCGGGACCTACCAGCTGCGCGCGCCCGCCAGCCGCGAGGCCCAGGTGCGCCGTGCTCGCGGGGTCCCGCGGGGTCCCTGGGCGGGCGCGGGCCGGCAGTGACACCCATGCCTTCCCCGCAGAGCCCGCCGGGCGCCTCCGGGCCGCAGACGCGCGCGGGCCGCCTCTACCTGTACAGCTTCTGCGGGGACCGCCCCGCAGCCCCGCTGGCGGAGGCCCACCGGAGAGACGGCGCTGCCATCCTGGACGCCAAGTGGTACTGCGCGCCCGGGGCTGGGGTCTCTGTCCGGCCGGGGGCGCCTGGCCGCGTCCCCACGCCCGCGCTCTCTCCCTAGGTGCCACGTCCCGGTGGCCGGTTCCGCCCTCCTGGGCTTGGCCGACGCCGGCGGATCCGTGGAGCTGCTGCGCCTGGTGGAATCCGAGGTCAGCGGCGGCGGGGCGGCGGGGCGGGCCTCCCCCGGCTTGTGCCTCAGCACGGGGGCCGCGCTGTCGCTTTGCCTGTTACTCCGTGAGGACATCCCGGGCGCCCACAAGCTTGGGTTGACTCTGCTCTTGGCAGCGGCGTGGCCGGTAAAGCCGGCAGTGGACACACAGCGATGCAGGCGCTGTGAGGCCGGTTGTGGGTCCCGCCAGCGCTGACTCATGACGACCAGAGCCTGTAGGGAGAGGCCCTTGCTCAGGCCAGCTCAGAGCAGTGGCCTTGGTCTCAGGTTGAGGGAGGCAACACCTTGAACCTTCTCCTGGGCAGGAGCACCCAAGCGCAGCCTGCCCGGAGCTGCTGACGCAATGAAGTCCACCCGTTATTTTCAGCTTACTGGAGAGAGAGAAGGAGGGCTCCTGCACCTGCTGGTGCGCTCCCTGGATACCTACAACAGCAGGGGCTGTGCCAGGCTGAAGCCAGGAGCTGGGAACCCACCTAGGTCTACAACGTGGGTGGCAGGGAGCCAAGTACTGGAGCCATCACCCACCGCCTCCCAGGGTGTGTGTGAGCAGGGAACTGGATCAGAAGATTCAAGCTCAGGCAGTCTGATCTGTGACACAAGTGTCCTAACCATTGTGCCCAGTGCCCGCCCCTGCCAGACTGGTTAGATCTTGGAGAGGAACTGCCGTTCCTGGGATGGAAACCAGAGTAGAGGCCTCTCCGTCCTGTTCTCTGGAGACACGCCACTTGGGGGTGACGAGCACGTGCCAGCACCGGTTTTGCAGCCTGCATAGGAGCTGATAGTGTCTGGGGTGCTCAGAGTGAGTGAGTGTGAAAAACAGACTTCCTGGCCCCAAGGTCATGTGTGAGAATTTCCTCCCAGGTGTGCGAACTCCAGGGCTCCTGCCGGGTCCTGGCGTGTAGCAGGTAAAGATTTAGTGCCAGGCTGAAGTACGCACCTGTGACTCACGCACTTTGTTCCTGGGGGGAGTGGGTGGGGGGACAATGACTTACCTTGGCGGGAGTCCCTTTGTCTCCAGTAGAACAGCAGCTGCACGTTACAGCCGGCGTCCAGCCTTGTCCTGGACGAGCAGTGTCTGGCTTTGTCCCTGGACTGGTCCACGGGGAAGCTCGGGAGGTAAGGGCTCCTGATCTTTCCTGTTTGGATGACTTCGTGTTTTCTCCCCAGAGTGAGCCAAAGCCATCTGTTGCCCTGATCCTGTCCCCCAAGTCTGGCAACGTCGCCACTTGTCCCAGTTTACAGAAACAAAACCCTGGCATTTTGGGCTGATAGCGATGATGTTTTTGATGCTGGTTTCTTGCAGAAGCACTTGCCAGTCTGCAAAGTTCAGCCGGGCTTCTCCTTTGGTTCCCTGTGTCTAGTGCCGCTGACCAGCCCTTGCACATCATCAGCAGTGACTCCAAGGGGCAGCTGCACCTTCTGCTGGTGCACGAAGAGGGTTCGGGACTGCAGAGTGTGGCCTCCTGGCAGGCCCACGCATTCGAGGCCTGGATCGCCGCCTTCAACTACTGGCAGACTGACGTGGTGTATTCAGGTCGGTCTTCCTCCCTGGGCGTCACGGCTGTCTCTGACTTGCCGGGGCGGCATCCCCGAGGCTGGGATTCTGGTCCAGCGGGTCTCTGCGACAGAGGCTGTCACTGGCACTCCTCACTTAGGGTTCCTCAGAACTGCAGCGGCCTTAGCGGTGCTGAGGGCGGTGTCCTGAGGGAGAGCTGCCGTGTGCTCCTAGGACTCAGTTCCGTGCTTTTTGCCTGATCCTGTGGGCACAATGTTCGTTTTGTTGGATTTCCTTCCAAAAGAAGAAGGAAGCGTCGGAGAAAGTCTCATGAGGGGCTCAAGTGGGAGCGAGAAACGAGCAGCTTCTGTTTCCCAGTGGAGAAAACTTGGGCGGGGGGGGGTCTCAGGACCAAAGAGGAGCCACTGAATTCGCTAAACCCGAATGAAAGGTCTGACTGCTTTTCTCCCGTTCCTCATCTGTGGCAGTGGGTAGAGTCCCAGGTGCGAGCTGAGGTGGGGGACTCCTGTTTTCATCCCACCCAGGCACTTGGAGCTCTTTCTGCTCCTAACTCAGCACCGTTCGGCCTCCCCCACCTCCTGTCTCCCTCCTCCCTCTGCCGTCTCCCTGTGACCTCTCTTGCTTTCCGATTCACTTTTTTTTTTCTACTTTGTTGGCTCTGTTGCCTTGACACAAAAGCGTTCAGCGTCCTGTAGCTACTGTCTGGACGCCTTTCTCTGCTATCACTCTCCCAACTTTAGTCACTGTCTGTATTCTAGAAGCGACCACATTCAGATTGTTTAACCTAGACCTTTATTTAGAGACTGGGATCCGTTTACCTTGCTGGCTGCCCACTCCCGATGCTGGGGTGTTTCCTGCATCCCTTCCGTTCCAGGGACCCGGAGCTGAGCTCACTGTTTTGGTACTGCCTCTGCTGCAGACCCACTCCTCCCCGAGTTCTCCCTGTTGGGGCCACAGCCTGGTTGCATAGCTCTGAAACCTGGGAGTTGTCGTTGAGACCTGTGGCCCTTTACTCCCACGACCCAGCCTTGTTCATTTCTTCTTCTTCCTCTCCTCCTTCTTCTTCCTTCTCTTCCTCCTCCTTCCTCCCTCCTCCTCCCTCTTCTTCTTCATTTATTTATATATTTGAAAGGCAGAGTTAGTTACAGGGAGGGAGGGAGGGAGAGAGAGGGGGGGGGGAGGTCTTCCATCTGCTGGTTCACTCCCCAGATGGCCACAATGGCTGTAGCTGCTTCAATCCAAAGCCAGGAGCCTCTTCCAGGTCTCCCATGCAGAGTCAGGGGCCCAAGGACTTGGGCCATCTTCTGCTGCTTTCCCAGGCCATAGCAGAGAGCTGGATCAGAAGTGGAGCAGCCAGGACTCGAACTGGCTCCCATATGGCATGCCAGCACCACTAGTGGCTTTACCTGCTTTGCCACAGTGCCAGCCCCACCAACGCCTATCTGCAGGCGGCGGTTTTACTGGCTACGCCACAGCGCTGGCCTCAAGCCTTGTTTATTTCATCGTCTGAGTGCCTCGGAAGTGGCCATCTCCTCTTGCCTGCAGCCACCTGTCCAGGCTAACCACCTTCTGTCTGCTCACAGCAGAGCTCTGAGCGATGCCCCGTGTTCATTCCTGACCCTTCCCAGGCCAGGCTCCACACAGTAGCCCGAGCAGTTGCTTTCGAAACGTGCTCATCACTACAGCCATT